CTGCATAACTCATGCAAGTAGTGCACGACAATCTACCTGTATAAAGTAGCGAATAACTCAATCCAAAAGCTGCTACAACACGCCATCGGATCCGCAACACTTGTACTAGCGGACATAAGGCATGTATAAGCTCTCAAATGAAATATTGTGTATTCAAATAGCAATTACCTGCATAACTAAAATATTTCAAAATACCTCCGTAAATGCACCGTAGTTTATATACACATAGGTACACTAAAGGGGTAAATACAATCACCACCCACATGGGCCCCGACGAGTATGTTATTGGTACACATGTGATGTCTAGGGATGCTCCGCGGGTCAATAAATTTGAACTCGATCCTTCTAAGTAAGTAGGAGTCAACAGGGTTCAATAAATAATTATAAAATGTTACCAAACACCCGCATGGGCCATGGTGAGCGTGTTACTGTATACACTTGACGTCTATGGATGCTGCGTGGGTCAACAAGTGAATTCAGATTCAAACTAGATCATCCTATGCGGATCAATAGAAGTCGGCAGGGTTCGAACAATCAAACAAATAGACGGTTGTGGCGACCGATGTATTTGTTTTAATACATTCATATTAGGCCTACAAGGCCTATAATCTAGAGAATTCATTAAGCAAAGGCATAAAGCCTACGAAACCCGATCCTCCTAAGCAAGTAAATAGGAGTAGACAGGATTCAAACCATTAAATAAATATGCGGTCACGAAATTGATCAGAATATTTATTTTGTAGATTCATATTAGGCCTTTAAGGCCTTTAAGTCTTTAACAATATGAATTCACTAATAAAAACACAAAGCATGCAAAACCCGATTCCCTATCGGCAGGTTGATAGGGACGACAAGTTTTAGTCAATGAATGACCCCACACCCCGATGATGGCTGCGTTGATAGAAAATCTCAATCGGAGGGGATAATTCTAAGTATTCAAATGCTTTCCGTGTTCCACCCAAATGATGATTCAAATGAAGAACCCCTTAGTGATGACAGTGCTGATGACTTATGAGTTCTTATGTGATATGTCATTGCTATTTATTTTTGGAAATTGAAATTATATGTTAATGAAAAAAATACTGTGATTTGAGAAAGATAGAATTTTGAGTTGAACTATATTTCATGTTGTCTTATTATTGAGATATTTTGACACTTCATATCTTATGTTTTTTTTTATGTTTTATATTATTCACTAATTAGTATATAAAAAATTTATCATTTTATGTTTACGCAATCTTTTGATTTTGGGGCTTACGCCTCAAAACGCCTTAAGGCTTACGCATCGCCTCTCGAATGAAAATTGCCTCAATACCCGAATACGCAATTTTAAACATTGGAAAATATCATTAGGATCCATTCTCAAATAATCTCCTGCCAGTAAGGACGTGGTAAGTGTCCTTTAACTGGCGGTTTTGCCGCCAAATGGCACTGCATGATAAACGGTTATGACGCGGGGCCCTCTGAACAGAGTGGTTTTGCCGCCAAATGGCACCATGAAATACCGGTTATGGCCAGAGCCAATACGCCCTTTAATGACATCAAATTATTGAGATATGAATCAATATGATATGCTCGATAGGGCACAAAGCCCTCTGTTAGCTACGGTGGATTCAAATTTGTCCCCTTAGACAAATACCCACCCCAGGTCTACAAGGTCCCCTTGGATGAAGCAACCCAAGCCTGCCGACAAGGATGCTTCTGTCAGGTTGGGTCGACTACCTCCTCTAACTCAGTAGACCAGGGTCCATGATTGCCCGGGACGACGGAACCATGGGATCTTGATCGGGTCCATCATCCATTCCCCCACCATCCGCTTTAAGTGCAAGATGGTGAAATTTCTATTTTAAATATCAAATCCTCTAACTTTTCGAATTTTTATATCCAAACCCATTGCTGCTACTATATGCTAGATTATACGTATTTCTACGTATCTGATTGAAGACTAGCCTTAATCGAAAGTTCTCTCTCGTTATCGGGAGGGGTAATTAACTATAGGGGCTTGCGCCTATAAGAAACCATAACTCAGATCATAAAGTCCTCACGAAGTGAGGGCGAAATATCTGGGTAGTGTCTTACCTCCAAATCCATCTGCCTTCCAAAATTTACCCCGAAACTAATCCGTTAAAACTCCCTTGGCAAAAAAAAAAATCTACAGTCGCGGGCAGAGTCCGGTGTCAAATTTTTGGAGCCCACAGAGACGAATCCAACAAGCCTAAGATCGCTCAATTCCGACATCATTATTGCACTTAAATGTCAAGCCGCTGCATGTCGTCTTTCTCCTTTGTGAAAGGACCAGCAATGAGTAGCATGCGAGTTCCTTGTAGATGGCGAGCCGTAAGTATTTTGATACTATAGGTGACAACAAATGTCCCAACGAACAATCCTATGGGCCGACTCCATCTTTTTCCAAGAAGATTTGCAATTGAATAACGTGTGAATCCCCTAGGTGTCGAGTCTTGGTGGTTACCCTCATGAAGACCAAGCGTTTGGCTTAGGACATTACCCACCAAAATTGATTTCACATATTTGCATGAGCTCACTCTCCAAAGAATCGTAGTCAACTCATACATTTGAGAGAAAGTATCAATCAAAAGTAACGAGCTAAAGACTTAGCTAAATCACCAAACGCGCCAACCCTCCTCGCAATTCGCCTTAATACGAATCAACATTTGGCTCTAACACATGACTCGTCAATCTCAGGTACACAAGGTTATCTAAACAAAAAAATTACTATCACTTATTATCACCTACAAAGCAAGTATAATGCAAGTTCATAGGATAAGGCGCATTCTGCCACACTCGCCCATGACATTGAGATTTATCAAAGTGCCACAATATCAAGCATTGGTTCACCAAAACTCATTATTCTTGCTAAGTTAAAATTTTTGAAAAAACTCAAAAAATCTTCACCTTGTTTTACAATTGAAGGCGGATGCATGTGAATATCGACTCATCATTTAAAATGAAAGCTCATAAACATTCGATCAAGTACATATTGTCCAAAACTTAAGCAAAACGAGAAAATAAAGTAAAACAAACAAGCACGTATGCATGGTTTAAAATTGCGCAATATGAGGCTCGTCTTGAGGCCAGTCTTTGCGCAATTCCAGAAAAAAATGCCTCGATGCTTACCCCTCGAGTTTTTTTATGAGGCTTGCGCCTCAACTTGGTTGAGGCCCGCCTCGCCTCACGCTATATATATTAAAACTTACATAAATCTTGAAGTAAATGCCCGACATTGGACTCTATAGGAGAGGAGGAAGGGGAGAGAGCAGTTCATCATAATGATGATTCAAATGAAGAACCACTTAGTGATGACAGTGCTGATGACTTATGAGTTCTTATGTGATATGTCATTGCTATTTATTTTTGGAAATTTGATTTATATGTTAATGAAAAGAATACTTGGATTTGGAAAAGATAGAATTTTGAGTTGAACTATATTTCATGTTGTCTTATTATTGGGATATTTTGATTTCACTTCATATCTTATACTTTTTTATATTTTATATTATTCACTCATTAGTATATAAAAAATTTATCATTTTCTATTTACGCAATCTTTTGATTTTGAGGCTTACGCTTCAAAACGCCTTGAGGCTTACGCTTCAAAACGCCTTGAGGCTTATGCCTCGCCTCACGAATGAAAAACGCCTCAATACCCGAATACGCAATTTTAAACATTGCACGTAAGAAAGGAAAACTTTCATTTAATCATTATGTTAACTTTCATTTAATCATTATGTTTACATTTGGCCACTAGCATAAAAATCTCAAACAATTTTTTTTTCTATTTCAAAAATTTGATGGGCGAGAGAAAATCATTTGGCTGTCATGATTGCACATCACTGTCATTTTCATTGTTGACTCTCATTTTCATTGTTGATTTCACGGACGATGACCAAAGGGTCTCTCAATCGAGGAGCGATCTCATCTTTGGCCACGAGCTTGTGCAAGCATGATTCGATCAAGTGGCAATAATGCTCGCCTAGGTCATCGTCGAGTGGACCTTCGTTTCTGAACAGGTCAATTTCATTTAGCCTCGCAGTTATCTCTGCTACCCTTGCCTCAGCTTCCTCATTGGTCTCTTGCGCTAATTGTGCATGGATGTTGGCTGAATCCAACTCACATTTATGCTACTCTTTGGCCTTTAGCGAGTTCGTCCTCCAACTTGCTCACCTTTTCTCCACATCTAGCTCTCTTCAATTTTTGAAGGCTATAGGAAAAACTTAAAAAAGAACACCTATACAACAATACACGCTAAACTAGGATTTGTGGTGTATCTTGATTGGTTGCAGGAGTACGCAGTCAACGATCTAGTGAGTTGTATGTCATTGGGCGAGCTCAAGAGTGGGAGACAAATTGTTTCTGACTCTGGGACGAAGCCAACGAAAATATTAGTAGCCAAAATTTCCAATGTGGGAATCTTTAGCCGGTTATTTGTTTAACAGTATATATGGTTATTTATTTTTGGTTGTGAGGTAAGGTAATTTGTTGATGAGGTAGGCCATGGTGAGAAGCGCATCCACCCAAAATTCTGAGGTAAGTGAGCATCGAGCATGAGAGTACAGGCATTTTCGATAAGATGTTCATTTGTGTTCATTTGTATTCAACAACATTGTTTTATTCTGGTGTATTAGGGCAAGTGATTGACGAGTAATTCCCCCCATCTTAATCGAAGATTACAAAGAGTAAACTTGATGTATTGTCCTTGGCATTTCAGTATTTTAATTGGTATTTTAATTGTCGTTCTATAATATTTATTTTTGAAGTGCAAAAAAAATTGTAGAGATTTCAGATTTCGGCTAAAATTTAGAAGTTTTCTTTAGAAGAATATGCTTGATTTATAAACGAAACTTCAGCAGATTATGCATCTTCACTTCCATTTTTTGTGTCAATGCAATGATTTGCTTGGAATTGGTTTCTTTGCATGCAAATTTGGAGTTTCGTGATGTCTCAACTCCTTAAACAAGCTAAATTATTATGTATGGTGGCAGTTAAGAGAGAGGCAAGCGACACTACAGAAAGATGACGTTGTGGCTGAGTGGAATATCAAAAATGATGAACTTTCATTGCATGTTCATTGCTTTGTTAGTGGTGCCAACCTCTTTCAAGAACTGACTGCTGGGTTTCGGTATCATATTTTCTCGAAGGAGCTCCCATTGGTGAGTCCATATTATAGTCATTATCACTGGCAAGTATTCTTTTCGTAAGGGGTTTTTACTATAAGAATATCTGATTTTCTCTAATTTTTCTTTTCATATATTAATATGCTTTCTGTCTACATCTTAAAAGGTTCTCCATGCTGTTGTGCATGGAGATTCTGTCCTGCTCGCTGACCAACCAGAATTGATGGATTCTAAGGTCTGGGTGTACTTCCATTCTGAATCAAAAGAATACAACCGCATTGAATGCTGGGGTCCTCTCAAGGATGCCATTCAGGTTAAGAAAATCAAATGCTCCAGTCTAAGGAAATTCAGTGCACTTCCGAAAGCATGCATAACTTTAATTCAAACTAACTCATGCATGACTAGCTAAAAAAAAAAAACTCATTCATGATTAACTACAATGTATCACAAATGGTCTGATATTATGCATAATTAAGTAGGATCTAAAAAACTATCTACATAGTTTTGTCATGATTTGATCTTTTTGGATGTTTCTTTATTTTGCATGTTGTATTCTGGTAGAAATGGTTTTAAATAGCAAGTTGTGTTAGAGGATAAGGACCAATCTCCTGTTTGCATGATGGCTGTGATTTCACCTTATGATATTAGTCAAGCTATTATTGAATCAAGCAGTACATTTGTCATGCATTGAATCGATTCAAAAAGTTTTCACTTGTGCTATGTTGATTGACTCTAGCAATTACTTCTTTTTGCTCCAGAATTTCTTCAGAAAATTAATCAACCGAATACTTTATGTGAAATAGTTGGTCTATCAGCTTAGTATATGTCTCAATTTATAAATTCTTCATGCAATTATATTTGCCAACTGGACTGGTCTTCTTTTAGCTAGACAAATCTGATTGAGATTATGTTATTATTTATGCTAGAGAACCATTGTGAATAGATCTGATGGAATCCACGACAAATTCTATGACAGCATCATGAAGTGGGCAAGTTCTAAAACTGTCTTTCATGCCCTCGTTGCCGTTCTATTTTATTAAGTTGGAAATCAACAACATATAGTCAGATATCCACTCATTGGCTAGACCTCCATTGCTATAATTCATTTTCTTGATTCGTCAACAGCTAGTACGAAGTTGCTATTAACATTCATTTGGAAATGATTAATTGATGACTTGAAGAGATTTATTTCTTTCAACCGTTGGAGGAAAGTTAAAAGCGCTCATAATGTTTTATTTATCATAGATCTTTGATGTAACTTTTGAAAAATGCTGTACCTGACACATTGGAGCAAAATTTATTCATTCCTCTTTTTTGTAAGTTAATTTCACCCCGAAATTGTGATTTACATACTTGTGGACATCTCCAAGAGAGATTCGTGTATTATTTAATCTTCTTAACAACCTCCCTATATTTTCAGTCGGCTCTAGCACTTGATAGTTTACATCAAAGTTGTTTTTTAATTGTGCAAGTTTGCAGCTGTGATGTAGAATTGGTTGCGTGGAAAATTATACAATGTTAAAATTACACGCCTTTTGAATTAGAGCAATAATAATTATGTTAGCTTCTAGTGATTTAAACAAGTATTAAAATAATAGAGAGATAATTAAAGCTTAGGCCAAACTACATGTCATCGTTACAATCATCAATAATCAATTACAATCAAGATTTGCCTAACATGGGGGATTTTCAAAGGTAATCCCTAAATTAACAATAAGATTAGACACTAGTTGGATCAACTCACTCACACTCTTGATGTAGGCTAAACGGATATAGGTTGCACAACCTTTATGAAGCCACAAATTAAAGGAAAGTCTTAGAAAAGCAAAAGACTTGGAGGAGAAATTTGCCTTTATCAAGATATGGAAACGATCTGCCACTGAACCAGAGACAGTTGTTCATCGATAGTGGCGGCGAGGGAGAAGATGATTCTCTCAACGTATTCTTCTACGGTTTGATCGATCTCCAGGTTGATGTCATATAACAGAGACTTCAGTATGTCCACTTGCCCTTAATAGTTGTAAATAAATCCGAGATTAACTTTTGGATCCATCATACATGTGGGAACAATAGATTTTAATGTACAAGCACTTCTGGATAGCAAACGATTTCTTTCCAGAGGGCTGGACAGCTTCTGGACAGCAAGCGACGACCATCCGAGCAGCAGGACAGCAAAGAATGCTAGCTGAAATTCCTGGACAACAAGCAGGAATTTCTAAACAGAGAGGGAAAACGTGAAGGGAAGCTTGGGAGGAGGCGGCTAGGGTGTAGAGGGGTTAGAGGGGGTGGGGGGCTGATTTGAGAGTTTAATGGAGTAGATTAATTAGATAGGAGAGAGGGAGAGGGGCGGTTGGTTTTGGAGGGGAATTAGTGGGTTAATTGAAAGGTTTAATGGGGGTATTAATTGAATAGGAGAGATAGAGAGAGGGAAGGAGAGGGCCGGAGGCATAGGGGGACAAGTGGGGGCCTTTAGGTGGGGATTGAAAGCTTGCCCTATTTAGGATATTGAACGAGGAAAGAGTGTTTTAAATCAAATCCTATTTAAAATTCAAAAAGATTTTATTTAGGTAATTTTCCTAAAATAGATATCTTGAGTTAGGAAAGAATTTCAAATTCAAAATAGATTAGAATTTGAATTAGGAACTTGCCTAATTTGAATTTTGGAGGCAAAGGGGAGGGAGGTGGTCAGCGGCTAGGGATTGGAGAGGGGCCCTAGGGTTTGGCTGGCAGTTAGGGGAGGGATTATGGGATTTGGCTGGCAGCTAGAGAGGGGATGGGAGCCTGAGGGCTGGCGGCTATGGTGGGGCAGAGGAAGGTTTAGAACTGACAGCTAGGGGATGGTTTGGGGTTCTTGTTCGGTGTCTATGGAGGAGGATGGGTAGGGTTGGATGGTGGCCGACGGCTATGGTTGCAAAGGGGCTTTAAGCCGGTTGTTAATGGAGAAGGGAAATTAGTGAAAGAAGGTTAACCACGAGCCCAGACGCGTCCTCCGGCTGGCAGGTGATCTGTCACCCTCTCACCAAAGCTCTCTCAAAGCACTTAAGAGAAAATTGCTGAAATTTCATAATAATCTTCATTACCCTTTCCAAAGAGGAGGATGATATATAAATAGCTAATGTTTACGATGAAGAAATTAAAGACACAAATGCCCCTCTAAGGGTCACAAACAACTAATCACTCAACCGAGGGTAAAAATAGAAAAAGAAACATAATTAAATCATATGCATATAATAACTCAAAAAAAAATCGGTGCGATCGTGGCCGTAGATTTCGGCCTCATCTTTGGTAAACTCTTGAAGGTCTCAAGTTCTCATCAAGCTGCCTTGGCATGCAACTTAAGTGATGGTCTACGCCATGTTATACTACAAATCTGTCAAAGTTTACCGAATCCATGCAAATGGGAAGTGCTACGGTGTCAAATTCAAAGAAAAAAAAACTCAAAAAGTGTGCTTGACACAGAAAAGCCTTATTTCTTCATAACTAGTTGTTAGAGAGAGAGTCCAGGAATTTGAATTGTTTTTCAAATTTTGTCTTTGTCATCAAGTTAGCGGAATTTCCGGTAGGGCATGGACAGACGGCCATCGTCCGTTGGAGATGGCCAGAATTTGGTTCCGGAATCAGATAAATCGAAACGACTAACTTCTCCAAAGGCAATTCGATCAAATGCTCCTCTTCTGATCAAAGAACCGGTTGAAGCCAGAACTCTAATTTCCACTCCGGTAGAAGGAAAAGGAAAGCAGATTTTAGAAGAGATAACTTTGAATACTCATGGTATTCGTAGCAGCTCTATTATGGAATCATCATCTTCAAGCATGAAGTTGTTTGTGAATAGGTTTGCGAACTCTAAACCTGATTTATGTACCTATAAAAGTGATGTGAAACCGGGAGATTCCGGTTGGAACATCAATTGGTTGTGAAAATGCTTCTGTTCTTGCTCAACCAGAAGAGAATCTAGCGAATCATTTGGAGACGGTGGAAAGACGTCCTGGAAATCCATGGTTGAAGCGTCCATATATTAAGGTTGATATGATGAATGTTGAATCATGTTTGTCGGAGGATGGATCGGCGGTTCAACTATACGAGCCTAATGTTCAGTCAAATCTGTTGAAATTGCAGTTCTCTCTGGTAGTGAAAGTGTTTGGCAGATCAGTTCCTATCCAGGTGATTTCGGGAGAACTGAGAAGGCAATGGCTACAGTTTGGAAAATTCCAGTTAACTGTACTGGAGGATGGATTCTTTGCTCCTTATTTTCATGGAGATCATGGAAAAGGTCCTTACAGGTGGGCCTTGGTTTGTAAATGGCCATATAGTTGGAATGGATAGGTGGAATCTTTCCTTCAATCCAAATTCTCTGAAGGGGCTCATTTCTCCCATTTGGATCAGAATACCCAACCTCCCTTTATATTGCTGGGATGAAACAAATGTGTCGAGGATAGCCTCTAAGGTTGGTAAACCTCTCTTAATTGATGGTTACATGTTTCAATGGGGTAGAAGGGAGTTTGCAAGAATATGTGTTCGGGTTGAGCTTGATAAAAAACTTCCTCTAAGGGTTTGGGTCGAAGGAAGGGAGGGAAGATTTTTTCAGAAAATCGAGTACGAGAAGATTTCTTCCTTGTGTTTCCAGTGTGGCAAAATTGGGCATGTTGCTGAATATTGTCCTGAACTAAAGAATCGTAATGTTGCCAATAATATGGAGAAGAAGGATGAGAACAGCAAAAATCTGGGGAAAACAGTAAAGGTAAATGTCAATGAAGATTACTCTTATGGGCCTTGGATATTGGTCAATAATAAGAGGAGCACAAGAAGAACAACAGGAGCTCGGAGAAACATTTCCATTCCAAAGACTAGAGGCGTCTGGAATGCTCGGGTGGACAAAGCTGCAGCTAATCAATCCGGGAGTGCTATTGGAATGGGTGGAGAGGAACTTTCCTCTAATGCTGATCTAATTCTGCTTTCAAAGGAAAACAATCCTAATGAGAAATTGATGGAAATTAACAAGATGTCTTCAGCAACTACTGTTTTAAGTGAAAGAAACTATGTGGAAGGTAAAAGTCCAGCAGGCTCTCCAAATATCGAAGGTAGCAAGGTATGTAACAAAAAATCGGTGATGGTTGGCAAGGTGGATGAAAACCCTGTTCCAGAGGAGTTGGTTGTAGTCAGGAAAGACTCGACTCAGGATGATAACGGTAACATATAATCTTTCATTCCTAATTTGATTATTGCTGGTGCCAATAAGTTTGAAACTCTGAATGTAACTGTTGAAGAGGATGTGCTTTTAAATAAAATTGAGTAGAGTAGTTGTGTGGAGGTGGAAGATGGGAAAGTGTTGGAAGCATCTGTTGAGCATCCGGGCTATGTGAAGAAGGAGGGAACATCCATTTTTAATAGAGATGGATCTGTGGAAGATAAAGGAAATGATCTTGCTTGCTTGGGCTAAACGGTAGCTGGAGGGAGTATACCGAAGTTATCCAAAGAACTTAGAGACCTTGGTCCATTGAATGCATCTTCGAGGCTAAGCAAGATGAACTTAAACAAGAAAAGAAATGGGGGAATCGCCCATTTCTTGTCCAAATGACTTATTTAGCCTTTTGGAATTGTAGGGGGGATCATAAGAAGGAAGCCTCCTTATACCTGAAGGAATTTGTCTTAGAATGGTATACTCTTTTTGTTGGCTTGGTGGAGACCAAAATCACTTCTATTGATAGGGAGGACTTTGATAAATTCATGGGGATGGGTTGGGTTTATCTTGTCTTTCCATCTAGTGGTATGTCTGGAGGAATTATGGTGTTGTGGAGGAAGGATTTGACATCCTTTTCATTGCTGGAAGCTTCTAATCAATGTATTGTGGGAGAGCTCAATATTTACAGTAAAGGTGTTTGGGTGATTTCGACTGTATATGGTGGTAGAGATCTTTATGCTAGAAGAAGTTTATGACAGAATTTGGAACAACATCATAGACTGGATTTTCCTTATGTAATTGGGGGAGACTTTAACTGTCTCTTAACTCAAGATGACAAGAAAGGAGGTCAAAAGCTCTCATTTACCAAAGGCCCTATGGAGATGAGAAATTTTATGAACCAATCAGATTTATATGACATTGGGTTCATTGGGCCCAAATATACTTGGTGCAATAATAAGAATGGAACGGCTCGTATTCTTGAAAGATTGGATAGATGTCTATTAAATACCAAGGCTTTGAAATTAATCCCTCAAGCTGCTGTTAGACACTTGCCGAGGATTGCTTCGGATCACAGTCTTATTGTTTTGAAGATAATTACGCCAACGGTTTGAAGGAGTCATCGGAAATTTGAGGATGTCTGGTTGTCATACCCAGCTGTTGCTACAGTTGTTAAAAGATCACGGGGGAATCAGTCAAGAGGAGATGCAATGGAAATCTTAAATAAGAGGTTTTCAAGGGTGATGAAAGCATTGTATTTTTGTAGC